TATTAAAAATATTTTTTCACAGTATATATAATATATAATAATATAATTAAGTCAAAAACTATTCAATATTAGACTCATTTTGAAGGTATTAACGAGACGATTATAATGRTGTAACTTGTTAAAATAAAAATGTATTTTTTAAACATGTTTTAATTGATATACGATTATGTATGTTAATTTAATAAAAGTTTAAAATGAAATATTTAAAAGTAAATGACGTAAAGTAAATTAATTAATTAATTAATTATGGGGGTATAAAGTGTAAATTTAAAATTATAATTTAAAAAAATCGGTTGCGAGGGGTGAGTGTATGTGAGGAGAGGAGGGTGTGAAAAAGTGACATAAGGGTAGTATAAAGGATATTTTGGTCCTTTAGTATTTTAAGACTTTAAGAGTTTTGTTAAATTTGCTTAATAAGATAATATAGATATATATAGGGTTGGGTTCACGTAAGACCAAGAGTCTTATATGAGACTCGTAAGACCAACTTTATAAGCTAATGATCTAATGGTCTAAAGTTGCACGGTGACAATTTTGTGATTGTTGAGAAGTCTCGTGGCGTTTATGAATGTTTAGATTTTTTACTGTAGATCTAATATATATATATATATATATATATATATATATAGGGAATTATTCAAGGGAAAACTGAGTTGTTTGTGGTAATTGTGAGAATCAATCTCAACCAATCATTTTAACATGTTAATTATACAATTAAAATCAAATTAAATAGGGTATGTTAGTCAATTCCTAATTTAAAATTAAATTTTAATTTTTTAAATGCAACCATTTCAAATAAAATAAATTAATATTGATTTACATTCCTAAAATAAAATATTAATAATATTAATATCATTTAGTGAAATAATTTCAAAAAAATAAATTCATTTGTGTAAACATGTTCATTATACTGATGAATCACATGAAATCACACATATTTATTGAAGATTGTATCCATAATATTTAAGAATGTTATCACAATGTATCACACCAATTTGTACTAATGTTGTTAATACATCTGCAGATTTTATGTAGCAGATGTGTTGTTACCACAATGTAGCACAAATTGATTATCACAATGTCCAGTCAAATATTATTACAAAGGCTAAATGTTATCACAATGTATCACACCATTTTCCAACAGATTATGATCAACACTAAATATACCACAATGTAGCACAAATTGAGATTACTCTAGGGCTTAAGGCAATCGTCTCCGTCTCAAATACAKGAAAGTATCTTCACTATATTTGGATTCCAATTGAACAAGAATATTAACGTACAAAATGACCATCTTCCCCTTGTTCATATAATGTCATTAAATGACAGTAATTTAGTTATAAAAATACATTAATTAAGATTTTTTTTAATCTCACACATTGTATATTATAATATGTGGTTGAGATTGGTTCTCACAATTACTACAAACAATTTAGTTCTCATTTGATTAAGCCCCTATACATATATATATATATATATATATATATATATATAAAAGATATTTTATTAACCAATTAAAAGATGTTAATTTTACAAACTTCAATGAACCAATAGAAAACAAGATCCATTTTTGAATGATGCACATGATAAACTTACTTAATAAGGGTAAAAATGTAATTCTTTATTTGATCTTTCTTTTGATGCAAATTAATTTTCGGTTACATTTCTTAATTATTTCATGTTTTGTCATTGTGGATATCTCATGCAAGTTAATTGTTGGTTACATTTCTTAATTAAACTTGAGTAAACATTTATTCATAGCTGAACCATCTCGTTTCAACATTTAAAAAAAATATTGTGTTCATATATGAACCTGATAACCATATACACGTAAGAAAAACTAGTATGTACAAATTACCAATTATTTAAAAAAATGAATAGTGTTCAGAAGTAACATATGAACATTGTTCATAAGCACAACTTAATGTTTGTTCATAGGTGAATCAGGTATCAGTCCACATTTAATTATTTCATATATGAACGAGACTACATAGTGTATGTGTCTATTAAAATAAAACATGAATGTTACAAAAATCTTTACGACTTTTTTCCATATACACCTCTTCCCACATGTGAACAATTCCTATAAATATCGAATACTTGTTCACACATAAATCATTAACCAAAAAAAGTTGTAAAAAAATCTAATGTCGGAGATCTTGTTATCGGTTTCGATTCGATGACGAGAGTAATTACCGGATAGTTACATTGTAATTAATGTGCAGTTACCCATCTCATTGCCATGAATGGATAACTATTTTTTTTCTGTAAAATACCCCTTGTAAACATTGTTCKCTTTTTACTTAAAACCACTTTTTATGCATAAAGTACTGTTTATTAATGCATATTACATAAAACTCAAGATTGCAAGTAGATTGTGAGTAAATACAACTTATTAAAACTCCATATCTGAATTCGTTTAACCAACTGCAGATAAACATAATCAAATACAAGATAAACATCTCATTTTAAATATAAAA